GTTGCTGTATGTGGGACGCGGCCTCAGCATGGCCGGAGAAGCGGTGCGTCGGTGCGCGCCCGGGATCCGAACCCGGGTCGCCAGCAGTGGAGCGCACTCACTTAACCGCTAAGCCACGGGACCGGCCCTATAAATTGCATTTCTTTGGGGAAGGATGCTTTGTTTAAGGGAGTCCTAGGCCTTGATTCCAACTGACAGGAAAATGTTGACTAGCAGTGTGGAATGGGTTGCAGATAAAATATTTAAACAAAGCATACAAATACTAACACTTCACTTTGTCAACAGGCTAACGAGGGAGGCTGGAAAACCTGGTTTAAAGAGTAATTAAAGAAGGATAAAAAAGAGCCAGTTAAGAATTTCAAAATGTGCCTGCCTGTAAATTTTCATTTCTTTTAGTCTGTTGCTATTATGTTTTTATAAATGCGGCTTTGAAGTTCTGTCTAGTTTACAGTTTAGACAGGAAGTTACCAAGACAACTGGTCACTCAGGTCTCTGGCTCAGTTCCCTGTTACAGTGGCCAAAGTCCTGTCTTCTGTTCCTAGAGCATAGAAATCCACGCAGCATCTCAGTCTTTGGGCAGGAGGATACTCAACAGGTATCTGAAGATGCTCTGGGAGGCAAACTGAACATCAGCCAACTGTCTCCAGAGTAAGGACTTAACCTAGCTTATTTTGTTAAAAGTAAAGAACAGCACCCCAAAAAAAGAACAGCACCCAAACAAGGCTTTCTCTATTGTCATACAGCCTTTCGTTAAAGTAAATCTTACCGTGGGTCTGATCCTCAAGATGAGACCTCTCTGCCTTTTGTGGTCCAAGTCACGAGGAAGCCAGTGCTGCGCACCTGTTGGACTGCCTAGACCTGTGAAGGTGATGAGTGTGATGAGGCTGAAGAGTGGAGCAGCTGATCCATGAATCACACCTTGCCCAATTCTAGCATCATGACTTGTGTTGTTTTTTAGGATGTGTGCCCCATTGTGCTAGATATCGTATGGAACATAAAAGAACAGTTCCTGCCTCAGGGCGGTTTGCGTTTCCTGGGTTTGGTCGCAACCTTGTGTGCTTCCTGGGTACAGGGCTGGTTCTCCAGGTAATTAAATTCCTGCAGCACAGAGAGATTGTTGTCTTCAGACTTCGGTTTTGAATATTAGGTCTTCTTAAAAGTAGCAGGTCGTAAACCTTTTGCTTTGTTTATCTAAATAGATATATTTTAATCCACTATGTCTAGTTCACTCTACATATTTTTCATTAATTCTTTGTCCTTTACTTTCTGACCTTTTAGGACCTACGCAATTTACGCCCATCTCTAATCTCTGGGTACCAGTTTTTAATAGAAAAATATTATAGAACTTAGATTTAGGCACTGCTTTTCCTTCTAAACTCAACTTAAAAATTCAGCTCTTAAATGTTCTCCAGCTATTTCATACCTGCTTATTCCTTATCTGTGTAGTTTACATCATTGGTTCTTGAACTTGTCTGCACATTTGGAATCATTTGGAGTACTTGAAAAAATACTGGGGCCCACCCGCAGAAGTTCCGATGTGATTGGTCTGGGATGTGGCTTGGGCATCAGGATATTTATTCATTTATTTTCTTGGTTTGTCTAGTTCCTTGGCCCCAGGTTTAGTGAGGTGTAACATCAGGATTTTAAGGGCAAGTCTAATAAGCTCACAAGTTGGAGAACCACTGGTTATATTATGTGCATTAACATTTGCTTGTAGTCCTGAATTACATTAACATTTATAGTAATAGTTAACATTTATTGAGCACTTGCATGCGCTGTTCTAAGAGTTTTACATATTTTCACTTATTTAATCCTCACAATTCTGTGAAGTAGGTGCTTTTATCATCCCCATATTACAAATGAGGAAACTTAGGCACAGTAAGATTGAACAATTTCCTCAAGGTTGTAATGCTTGCACATAAGGAATATACATGTTATGGTTACTCTATCCAGAGGATGATAAATAACAATTTTTCTTCTGTTAATTTTTGGATCAAAAAGAACACAGAAACAGGCCCTCAGCAGGGAGAGGTAATATTTACAAGTAACAAATAATGGAACTACTGGTGTCATCTTTTGCTTACATTTTCATTAAGTAGAATGATCTTCAAACCCCCAAGTGTGGATTCAGAATAAACACCATAAGGAGGAAGTTGAAACTCAAGATAAATGAGAAACTGGTGAGAGGTCTAGTCATAGGATTTTAAAGTTAATTTGGATATTTCTAGTATTTACAAGGCTTTCCATAAATAGTTGGAAAAAATTAAAAGCTGGGGCGGGAGCACTTTAAAAACCATGTGGTTTAACTCCATTATCAGAAAGATGAGGAAACTGGGACCCAGAGAGGTAAAGAGACTTGTCTGATGTTACATGGCAGAGTAAGGATTAAAACTGAGTTCTTTCCATTCTCAGTCCAGTGTTCTAACGTTTCCAAATGCTTTTTCTGGGCCGGCCCAGTGGCATAGTGGTTAAGTGTGCACGCTCCACTGTTGCTGCCCGGGGTTCGCAGGTTCGGATCCCAGGCGCGCACCGATGCATCGCTTGTCAAGCCATGCTGTGGCGGCATCCCATATAAGGTAGAGGAAGATGGGCACGGATGTTAGCCCAGGGCCAGTCTTCCTCAGCAAAAAGAGGAGGCTTGGCAACAGATGTTAGCTCAGGGCTGGTCTTCCTCACACACACACACACAGAAAAATGCTTTTTCTTCATCTAGTGAAATGAGAATTACATTAATTTATTGATTTTCTTTTTTTGTTACTTATGGGAAATTTAAAACATGTACAAAGATAGAAGAATATAAAGAATTGCTATGCATCCAATACCCTGCTTCTACAGTTATCCACTTCTGGCTGTTTATTTCAACTTTACCCACATCCAGTCCGTCTTCCCAGATAATTTTTTGGCAAATATCAGACTTCGTATTGCTTTTTTTTTTTTGTAAGGAAGATCAGCCCTGAGCTAACATCCATGCCAATCCTCCTCTTTTTGCTGAGGAAGACTGGCCCTGAGCTAACACCTATTGCCAATCCTCCTCCTTTTTTTTCTCTTTTTCTCCCCAAAGCCCCAGTAGATAGTTGTATGTCATAGTTGCACGTCCTTCTAGTTGCTGTATGTGGGACGCCGCCTCAGCATGGCCAGACAAGCGGTGTATCAGTGTGCGAACCCAGGCCGCCAGTAGTGGAGCGTGCACACTTAACCACTAAGCCATGGGGCCGGCCCCCAGACATCATGTTTCATCTGTAAATATTTCATTATCCTTAAAAGATATGGACTTTAAAATATACATATATATATATAAACATAATACCAAGGTCACACCTAAAAATATGAAAATTCCTTAATTCCAGCAAAGGTCCAGTGTTCAAATTTCTTTGATTGTCTTAGAAACGTCGTGAATGTTTTCTTTTACAATTTGTTTGTGTCAGGATCCAGATAAGTTCTACACATTGCAATTGATGATTTTTTTTAATCTTTTTTTTTTCTTGCTGAGGAAGATTCGCCCTGAGCTAATACCTGTTGTCAGTCTTCCTCTTTTTTTGCTTGAGGGAGATTGGCCCTGAGCTAACATCTGTGCCAGTCTTCCTCTATTTTGTATGTAGGTCACCGCCATAGCATGGCTGGTGAGTGGTGTAGGCCCATGCCCAGGATCCGAACCCGTGAACCCCAGGCTGCCGAAGCGAAGCACGTGGAACTTAACCACTATGCCACAGGGTGGCCCCTGATTGATTTTTTTTTAGTTCTCTTTTAATCTATAGGTTTTGATTCCATCTTCTTTCTTTTTTTAAGTAATTTATTTGTTGGGGTTGGGGGAGGGATGTGTCCGTTAGAATTTTCCACGGTCTGGATTTTGCTGGTTGCATTCCCGTGGTGTAATTTAACATGTTCCTCTGACCTGTGTGTTTCCTGTAAATTGACAGCTGCATTCTAGAGCCTTGACCACATTCAGATTTGACTTTTTTTTAAGAGAAGACTACTTCATTGATGGTGTGTTCTTCCATCAAGATTGATTGACTTTCTGCTGTTAAACCAACCTTGCACTCCCAATATAAACCCAGTGTGGTCCTGATGTACTGGTCCTTTTCTGTACTGCTGAATTTGGTGTGCCAATTTGTCTAGCATCCATCTAGAATGAGAGTCTGGGGATGCCAACCATCCAGAAGGTAAAGGCTTTCGGTTCCCATCTTAGAAGAGTCGGGACTATAGTCATTGCCTGTTGGTTTCCCTAGTGGCTGGCAGTGAAGCCTTAACTCAGAGAGGAGCTTTGTGTAGTGGATGGGGACTTCCAGGAAGGAGGGCACTGGGGAAAGGTCTCCAGCTTCAAATCCTGGCTGCTAGCAGGAGAGGCCCGGGGTGGGAGTTTGCTGGGAGAGCTCAGGAGCCTGCTGTAAAGCAGAAGGGATGGAGAGCCAGGCCTGTGCGGAGCTGGACAGGGAGAAGCCTGATGTAGGGCTGCCCAGCCTGTCAGTTTACAGTTAAAGAGAAAAAACTGGAAGATTAGCTCCCCCCCAGACACAGTAATGAAAACTCAGTGGGACAAATAAGAATATGCACAGTCCTCCCCCTGTGAAGAAGGAAGAACTGTCAGTGGAACTGTTAGGTTCCAGCATGCCTTCCCCCCTGGACTGCCCCACGCACATCCCTGCCACTCCAAGTTTAAGGAAACCGTGAATTATATGCTTATGCTGTAGAACCATAAATTATGGTAATTATTCAAACCTCAAAAGGATTCTTCCTTTTACAAAAGGACTTTTTCCTCCTCCAAGTCCCTTCTCCTCCCCCCTTTTATTTATTTATTTTAAATTTATTTATTTATTTTTTCCCCCAAAGCCCCAGTAGATAGTTGTATGTCATAGCTGCACATCCTTCTAGTTGCTGTATGTGGGAGGCGGCCTCAGCATGGCCGGAGAAGCAGTGCATCGGTGCGCGCCCCGGATCCGAACCCGCGCCGCCAGCAGTGGAGCGCGCGCACTTAACCGCTAGGCCACAGGGCCGGCCCTCCTCCCGCCTTTTAAATAGCAGTTCTTGGGTGAACAGAGACAGAATATATGTTTATAGGGGAGAGCAAAGAAACTACTTCTGCCACAATTGAAGATAAAAATCTCTTAAATTATAATGGACAACTGAGGATGCTTGAAAGAGTTGGTTCACAAAGTTCACCTGTAAAACAGTTTATATAAGCAATAACTAAGAGGTAAATGTGGAAAAGTAACTGAGTACCTCTGGCGCCTCTCTGAGCTTGTTTTGTTATGTGTGGGGAGCTTGAAAAAGCCATAATTGTTGGGATGGCTCTTTTAACGTTTCCTGGTAGGGGCCCTGTAGGAAGAAAAGGCCAGTGACAGTTCTGGAAGGTGGTGAAACAGGTAAACATGCAGTTAGGGTGGAACCTGCCCTTTCGTCCCCTTGCTGCTGGCAGAGCTGACATCTCCAAGGGCTGTTCTGCAGCCTCCTCAGTCTGCTTGGAGGAGGGGAAGGAGCCCACACCTTGTGGCGAAAGTCCAAAGGCCCAGGCTGGCTCTGTCTCTGTCTCCACTCACTGGATCCCTTTGTGTGAACACCTTCAGTTTCTAAGAATATCTAACTATCAAAGATGTAAAGGCTCTGGGGGAGAAGTCCAGAAATATTTGTAGAAAAGGCGAGGTTTTTGTTGTTGTTGTTGTTGTTTTTGTGAGGAAGATCAGCCCTGAGCTAACATCCATGCTAATCCTCCTCTTTTTGCTGAGGAAGACCGGCTCTGAGCTAACATCTATTGCCAATCCTC